CCCCAAAACCCCAAAACCCCAATGTTTAGATTTTCTTTCTCATTAAATAGTTATTAATGAAATAAAGTTATTTTTTCTATTTAAGGGGACTTTTTATGATTATTTGTAATTCTCATAAAATATTTTCATTGATCATAACGTTTGAGTTGGGTCTTGGCTCATCATTTTTTAGGCTTGCTGTGTCGGCACCTCTTTTACTTTACTGTGAGGTTCTCAATGAATTGAGTTTGTTGATTCTATGAACCATTGCATTTGTTCTATAGTCTCCTTTGGTATCTTTTAGTCTACTTTTGGAGGCAATGTCCATAGAAGTGTTAGTAAAGCCAGCATTTCTAGATTATCTAACTGATCCACCGTTGAATAAATTTTGTCTGCTATTTGTTATGGTATCTATCAGACTATCCGTTTTTATTCCAGTATCTAACTGTTCCATATTCATTGACATTTCGAGTTCCCTCTTCATTGGCTGAACGATCTTTTGCTAGAGAGTTCTCTAAGTTTTATTATGAACTTATTAGTTATTGTAGTTTTACTGTCTGCTAACTGGAATGCCATAGTATTCAGCAAAATTTTGTATCTTTTCAGTGACTGATCCTTAAATCCTTTAGTTTCTATAAGTGAACTATCCAGACTTTGATCTTTAGTACTGCTGCACTCTATGTTTAAGTTTGGAGACCATCATTTCCATTCTAGAAGCTGAATACTCATCAGAAGTATTAAAGTTTGAATAAACTGAATTCCTAGTATAATTTAGATCTTTCATCACAGTTGGATTAGTCAAGTATGGACTAGCATTAATATCATAACTTTAAGGTGTATATAGCTCAGTTGATTAGGCATCTTCAATAGGAGATTAGCTTACGTTAGCAAACTTTAACTTATTCTATCGTTGAGACTACTTTGTTTAATCTTGAGTTGTAAATTTTTAAAGTTTTACATTCTTTGCCATTGCAAAACTAGACTTTAGCTATTTATATTATTTATTGCGCTTTTCGATTTCTTAATGAAACGATAGTTCTTTGTTGTCTGTAACAAGTATTGATACATCATCAACACTCATGAGATCTTCCCTGATTGCTATCTCAAGATCATCATCCATTTGTAACAGCTTTTTTTTACTATTGTCCACATGAATATTGGCTCCTGCTAACTCGAGCTATTTCAAGAATAGCAAACTCTTTCTCCTCTCTTAAAGTTCTTTATGCTCTTTCTCTCGCATTATTACTGCTAGTCTTTCTTTACCCATATTATTCTAGCTTTAATCTTGATTCACACTATCTCTATTAGTTGATTTATATATTTGATTCTAGCTAGCATCTTTATCTATTCTCTAGTTCTGCAAATCTTGATAAAAGTTGTAATCAGTAGCTCCTATAAAAGATTGATGTTTCTGTTTCTCGACATTTTTACTTGAGTAAAACGCAACAGAAGACTTGATAAGCTACTAATGCTGCTAATGGAGATCTTTGTACTGTTTTATTAATCTTCTTTATCCTGTTAACTTTTCTCCTTTTAAGTAGTGTTTAGTTGTCTTCTAACTTTGCTACTATTATTAGAATTTATTAACTAGTATTATATTTTAATTATCTTTTGCAGAATTTAATAAATTTTCCTTAGTCATTTATCTTGATGTAGCATCTACACTAGCGTTTTTATCTTTTTCAGATTTTCTATTTGTAGGAACTTCAGTCAAACTTCGAAGTTAATTAACAATAATCCTTTGATTATTTAGATTAAGACTTTATTTGAATTTTTTCTTGTGGACATATTAAATAGATTTCAGACACTTTGGATTTACTTCCCATGCTTCTAGAGGGCGAAGCAAGTCAGATACTTCTATTTTATCCTTGTTTTTGAATAACAATTTCATAGTCTAGTCATATTTATCAAGATTCTAAGTAATGCTTGGATGAAGAGTATCTTTTATGTCATCGTAAACAGTATATTTCGCTAGCCCCTGCCTCTCAGCTATTCTTGCCTTGAGTTAATCGAATGATATAAACTTATCCCTGAACTATACAAACAAATCCTTGTCACTTTGCATAATTGTATCTTCTAAGTCTTGTCTAGTAAATTTATCATATCCATGCAATGCCTATAGTTCTCTTGCAATAGGAATCATTATTTCCTCATTGCCTAATAGGATCTTGAAACATTAATAACTCATGAAATGCAGATCTGTCTTTAATATCAATTGAAGCCATTCATTATTTGCCAGATTCAATTTTGTTGGATCAGTATATGTCCTAGGTGAACCATTAACACCACTCTATTATCCGAATGTTTGCTGTACTTGCTTCTTAAATTTTTCGATCAATTCATTAATTTGCTTTTAGTTTTAAAGAGCCTTCAGCTTTTAAAGTTGCTGAATATGATTTTAGGTTGATGACTTTTTATCAACATCATTTCTTGATTAAATCATGTTACCCAAATTTTCAGTCAGTTTATTCATGATGACTAGACCTTTTGATTTAAGATCTGAATCTGATTCCTAACTATCATTCTACTAAACATATTCTCTTACAAAGAGATTTAATTTTTATCTACTTTCGTTTTCCTCGGTCTATACTTTTTCTTTTTGCGATTTCTAATCTCTCTAAATAACTAGCTGCTGTATCCCGCTGTTTAATCTTTAGTTTCTAGAGTCGGCTGATTACCCAAATATTCTCCCATCAGTTTATTCTGCTCGTTTGCCTGTCATCAAGTGATTAAAGTAGTGCCCGTGAGATCCACTTAATTTCTTCTTGAAATTTTAATCTTATCTGCTCAAATTCCAAAGACTTTTTCTTATATCACCCATTGACTGATAAAGAGCTGAAAAATCAAAATCCTTCTCTTGCTAGATAAATGATTGTCTGGCTGCCATACCTAAAATAAAATTAATAATCTATTTAATCATATCATTATTGTTCTTATATGGGGTTTTGGGGTTTTGGGGTTTTGGGGTTTTGGGG